TTGCAAGCTTGTGAACGAAAGGATATGTAATACAAACTACATCCAGATCTATCACTCGGAGGCCGATAAAGCTGCTACGATGCGCCGTGCCCCTGGATATTCTTTGCGATTCAGCCCCGTTGGCCTCACTTTGTCCGTCAAGAAACACTTCAGCAGCGCAAGCTGCGCTGTGCGTGGATTGACACATCCAAAAACCAGATGACTTGAGTTCGGTTTCTCTGTCGCAGTCCGGTTTCTAAGCGCGCGAGTCCACTGCTTTCCATGTATTAGCGCGTCCATGCACAGCCGGGTGGACGCGATTGGGCATGTTCGGGACTTTCGCATGCGCCGGGTGATGCCTTAAAGCATCACATCTTTCAATCACCTGGTGGTGAACGAGAACGGCACCAGCGAGAACGGCACCAGCGCAGAGCCTTAGTAGCAAGTAGCATGGGAGACCCCGTCGCATGGGTTTCGATGGCACCACGTTAGGGTCGCCACGTTCGATGTGCGAAAACGCGCGCGGTTGCGCGCGTCCTGTGTCATTGTGGAATTACGCAGGGGCTTCATTTGGTCAGTCTTCGGTATTGCCAATACATAGAAAGTGGAAACATTCTTTTTGCTCCGGCCAGCCCGGCAATGATAGAAACAAATGCTGGTCATGAACGACATCTTGGATCTATCTATCAAGAAGATTTCTTCTTACAAGTTTGGATCGAGTCCCTTAGGATTCTGGGCATGAATTGAGAGGACAAAAAGCGCGTGAAACATCTTTTGATAGGTATTTTTGGCCAACAGTCCACGCAACTATCCACCCAAGTTTTTACCCCCTGCCCCACCCACCTGTATGCGGAAGAACACATAGCCACTAGTCACAAAGGGCATCGCTACTAGGAGCAAGGACGCTACCAGTAGCTCCTTGCATTACTACTAGTAACAAGAAGCTACTAGGAAAAAAGGGCATCGTTACCCGCCTCCCGCACCGAAATCGCTCCCTGCATGTCCAGGACCTTTCTCCGGGGCGCGAAGACCTTCGAGGTGCCTCTGGCGCTTCCTCTGGCGCTTCGATCTAGCGCGACCTCGCGCTCCTTCCAAAGTGCTGAGGATGGGACCTCGTCTGAGACGTGGGGGGGGCGATTGGGACCAGTGAGCAGAGAGGTAGCTTCGTTGAAGAGGTAGCTTGGGGTGGTCTGCATGTAGGAGGATTGGTGAGGTATTGTGAGGTTTTGTTCATAAAGAGACCAACTGACTTGGTTCACTATTGCTCAGCCCCTCTCTCATGCTCTATAACTCTATGTTGAGCAAGACGCGGATCGAGCTGGTGAAGTGCAAGTCTTTAAGTCCAAGATGAGCATAGGTGATGCATCTCTTGCAAGCGGCTTGAAACAATAATGAATAAAGTGAGATTCGAAAAGAGCTATATATAGGCTATATGTTTTTATTTATTGACCTTTTTTTTAACCTGCCAGCGGTGATTGTTTTCCATTTTCGTGTTTCCATCATCGATCATTCACTGCTTGGCGGCCAGCAGGACCAGCGGCCAGTGCCTAATCAGGCTGAGTATCTCTATCTCTGGAAAGACGCAGCTGTTGTGAGAAAGGGATCCTCGGACTGCATTGATGGGGGCTCTCTCTCTCTCTCTCTTGTCCTCCCCTCTCTCCCTCTCTCTTTGAGAATGCAATGTTGATTGCACTTTTCAAATAGCTTTGTGTCATTTTCTTTGTTTTTGTTTGGACGGTTTCACACACAGACACAGGTCACAAAGAGGGCAATTCTCCAACGGTCCCGAGTTCGGGAGGAGTCTAGCGGTCGGTCGGTCTTCCTGCTAAATGGCGGTGTAAAGATCACCGGTCTGGCTTGCGGTGAAAGCAACGTCCAACAACCTCTTTGTAACCTCAAAGGTGTTAAATCTTTTTCAAACATAACTTTTGACTATAAACCCTGACCTGTGAAATTCTACACTCAAAGGAATGAGCGAACCGATGCTTTGAGCGAAACGAATACTTCCATGTCTGATCCGTGAAGACCCACGTCACGAACGAACGAAGCCCCTTCGGCTCCGACTGCAGGACCTGATGCGTTGAGTCCCGTGGGCCACGGAGTGGTGAAGCATCCAACTGAGCAAAGACCTGAACGAGTGACGTCGTACGCGTGTGGGTCTGTGGGTCTGCCTTCTTTGATTGCATAGATGACCAAGCACTTCTGGGTTTCCTGGCATGCATTGAGAGATGTGCAATCCATAGTAAAGCTTTGGTTTAACTCTATAGCAAGGAACAGAAGACGATTCAGAAACTAGCTCCGATTCAGGCCGATTCAGAAACTATCCGATTCAGAAACTGGCCGATTCAGAAACTATCCGATTCAGAAACTGGGGGTGGGGTGGGGTGGGGATCTAATGAAATGTTTGTGTTGATGTAGCGTGGACATATTCGTATTTCACAGACCCGATTCAGAAACTATCCGAATCCGCGCTCCTTCTAGTTTCCGAATCCTAGTTTCCGAATCCGTGGCCACCCTAGTTTCCCAATCCGCGGTTCTAGTTTCCGAATCCGCCGTTGACCTATAGCAAGAGAGTGGGATGCGGTGTTAGCGCCAGGTGGGAGTCATCCGACTTGAGTTGCAGGGAATGCTACTACGAAGCTTAGCTCCAGCAGGATGGAAGGGTGACCTTGGCGACTGTTGTGGAAGAACAACCAGAGCACCATGGTGGTGCTCCTCTGGCTGTGGATCTTGCGTGCTGCCCTAGCATCTTCACTCACGTCCTTTTCTGTGAGGTCAGGTTCTTTCATTCCAAAGACTGCACGGTCTCACCAAATCGCAGCCTGCGAGCTGCAGATTCAATAGGCAGATCGTCCACAATCTGGGAAGCAGAAATAGATGGCTCGTTGGTGCAGGCAGAGGACATTCTGGCGGAACAAACACGTCCAAGTGCTCTGTCAACGTGCAGAGCAGATGAAGTCCTGCCTTGAATTCTATCCAGCCAATGACGTCCCGTCCATCAGCTTGACATTCCCTTGAAACGATTTCTTTTCGCAATAGGCAACAAAGGCTCGAGCAACTCTGATAGAGTCTCTGTCAGAAAGCATCCGTCAAGCCTTTTGCCTTTATCTTCCCTTGGAACTGCATGTTGTTGAAGAGGTCCTATGTGATAGATCCCTGGCATGACGGAGAGGGCCCAAGGTGGAGCTGCTGTTTCCTTCACGCTGACAGGCAGCCTGAAGGGGGCAACTACAGGTGCCCACGCATTCAGATTCAAGATGAGCTGAGGATTGACATGCTGACTGACTGTCACCTGCTTGCTGTGAGGCCGGCAGCCCAGATTGCTTTTCCATACCGGCAGCGCCTTGCCCAACGATACTCAACCTGCACGATACTCAGCTTCGGTCAATTTGAAAACCGAACAAAGGCCTTCTCTTCAGTAGGTAGCAAATGGCATTGCATAGCAGTTTGAAGCCAGTGATGCAAATCAGATTCCAACCGAATCCCGATTCAGAGAAGGGAAGGTGCTTTGGCTTGCAAAGAGAAGCCACACTTTCAAAGACTGTACTTCATCATCGGATTCCACCTCGACCTGGACATTACTTTCCAGCTCAACCTCGGCATGCTGCACACATTGCCGCTGGATTAAGGCTCGGCATATTGCCAGTTGCCAGTTGAACATGCGATCTATTCACGGCCCCGGCCGTGCTCCGACGCTTCGGAAAAAAGTGTGCCATAAGCTCATATGGTTACTTTTTGCACCAAGCGCACAGCCCTTCCCCAATGGTAACAGGTACCAGATACCTCTTCTTTTCCAGATAAGCGAAGGCCACATAATTCAATTAGATTTGAACAGTTTTGAACTCTGATTCCCGGTTGACATCTTAGCTGGTATTTATCTTTGCCATTTCATCTTGTGAAGGTGTTCTAGAGGATTGCTACCTGTGGTGCAAATGGCCGTTGAATATTTTCTTCAGTGACACACTTAGATGGATGCTCGCAAGAGCTGAGTCAGTGATGGTAGCCCACTCTAGTGAATACAATACCGATCTAGAGCGCTGAAACCTGAACCTGTCAATGGCCATGTGCAGAACGGACAGGTGAAGAGGTCAGCCTAAACAACACCATCGATCTGCAGGTACACACCGGGACGTCTCCCAGTGCTTCCCATCTCGCTGCCTAGCTTTGTTAGACCAGGTCAGCAACGAGATGCCTGGTCCCCCTGCTGGTAATTGTCGCTCACTCGAGGTGAATTATGCAAATGATACATGAAAGGCAAAACCTTTGAGACAGGTGTTGACACACACACACACACATACCAAGCCGTAATCGGCGCTCACTAAGAGGGTCATGTCCTTTTTGGACGTGCAGTTCAGCTAGTTGAGCAAGCGCTCGCTCAATTGCCGAGGGTGGGTAGGTGTACTTGTGGATGAGGTGTGCTCTGGAGTTGAGTCCTGACAATCTTAGTCTCTGAGAGCCGGCTGAGGCTTGGTCTCAGATCTTCCAAGGTGCATTGGGTGGGATGTACGTGATGGTGCGCTGGAGGAGGTTCACATCAAATCCAAGTAGATGCATATCGTCCACAGCAGGCAAAAACTCCTAAGTTATTTGTCAGGGCCGTGTGTTAATAGGCTCTATCATATCGAGCCTCAGTGTGAATCTTTGCGTATCTCTGCATTCTGTTTTCCCGTGGCTAAAGCAGTAGAAGTAAGTGCAGCTTTGATTTCACCTTTGATGACAACAATGTATTATTACAGAGGCTGGCTTTCGTTTCCTCCTTTCTCAGGTATGATATGCAAGTTTTTGTCAGAAAATGTGCCACGCAGAATGCCAGAGCGGGGGTCACATCCGGTGAAGTAAATTGATTTGTTGCGTCTCTTCTTTTGTGCCGCCGCTGTTTTGGAATAACAGCAGCAGCACTTCTCAGGCAACAACTGCTGTTGACAAGTGCAGCTTTGAAATATAAACCAAGTGTTAAGCCAACAATTTGTACTTTCAGTGCATTGCAAGAGGGGAACCAATAGCAGCATAGGCCCGGGTTGATGGCAATGATTCGTGGAATCGCTGTGAGTTTGGCAGCTGGTTGTGCGATATATTTTATTGTCCTGTTGCACTTTCCACTTTCGCAATGCAGATTTCCAAGCTGTTTGCACCAAGAACGTTCAAACCTCAAGCGGGCAGTGACGGAATCAGATGAAGTCTCAATCCCTGCATGGCGTCTCCCGAAACCACCCCGTTTCGATCGCGGAATCTACCAGCTAGGCGCCGGAGAGTACATGAATGTGTCCAAATTCCATGGTTTGATGCCCGCTGGAATTTGGAAACGGTTGGTGCCTTTGTTGCACAAACTTGCAAAAGGAAATGCAATCAACATTGTGGTTTTCGGAGGTTCATTCACTGCAGGCGCGGGTTGCCACCAACCGGACGCAGCCAATGACAGCCAGTCCTTCAAGAACAAACTTTGTTCCTGGACAGCGCGTTTTTTACATTGGCTGCGCGTTGCATTTCCTCAATCAACTGTAGAATTGGAAAACCGAGGGCACGGTGGTTCACCATCGGCTGTTATTCTTGGAGGTGTGGGGCTCTTCAACTACAGTACCGTGGATTTGATTTTGGTAGACACATTGGTGAATGATGCCACAGACGAAAACTGAGCCTTCGGGAAGTTGACGAATGACGCAGACGTGAACAATTTGAGCAACATGGAACTTGGGTCGGTGGCTTTCGAAGTCTTAATTCGAACCTTGAGCGAACTTGCGCCAAAATCGACGATCTATGGAATTGAGGCAGGCTGTCCACTTTGCCTACATAGCGCCCTAGCGCACAGGGTGGTTCTTGATTTTTATGGAGTTCCCTATTTGGATTTTGCGAAACTGGTGGAGAAAGATGGCAAACTTTGGACTCCAAAGAAGCCTCATCCAACATTCAAAACTCATCAAGCAGTTGCGGATGTGTTGGCCTTCACTTGGAGCAACGTTTGGGACAGAATGTATCATATTAAGTCGAGTGAAGTGAACGAGGTGAATTCGAAAGCCCAGCAAATGCTTTGCCACCCACAGAGCACATTTTACCACCCAGCACTGTATCGAAACAGATTCACAGTTTGCAAGAAGCCATGCGCGATCCTTTCACCATGGCGGCGGTCCACTGTTGAAGTCAGAATCATTAGAGGCAATTGGAGTTTTTATGAAGATCGTCCAGGAAAACCCGGATGGATTTCTACATGTCCGGGTTCTGTCATGGAAATCCCGTTGTGCTTTGGGCAGAGTCCCACTTTCAGTTTGACATACTTGAGGAGTTACGAGAAAATGGGGAAAGCAAAAGTTACCCTTAACGGTATTTCTTTAACCATCAATGGCCTGTGGGATGATGGAAACCGATTTGCGCAATCGGAGACTTTGTTTGCCCAAGCTGGAAATGGCCTACTGCAGACATGGGGAGCGGGTATACTAGGCTTCAATGTGACACCAAACTCTTCATTGCCACTGAGACGTCTAAATCTGGAGTCTGGCAACAACAAAATGAAGATCATTGAGATCATATCCTGTTAGGGCGGACAACATCTAGATTGGGAGAAGACATGACCAGGAGGCGCTTGAGTGCGCGGGGTGGCTGAAATGCGCAGGAGCCGACAGAAAAAAACGAAACGCGTAGGAAGTGCCATTGCTCTTCTAAACATGAACTTTCCACGTACGGATTGATAGGGATCCTTGTGGACCCTGAACAAATGGTGCTGCCATGTAAACATTTTATCATTCCGCTAGTCGTTTTTGTTTCCTTTTGGCAAGTTTAAACCGACAAGCGCCGTAACATATGACGGAAGACCGTGACCGTGAGACCCACAGTGAAGTACGAGGTCAACAAGTGTTCGACCAAAGAGGGTCAATCTGCCGAATGGGATGTGTTCGACCGACAGGGATGGGAACGACTTCAGGCGACCGCGGAAGATCCGTTGGGAGACACTCAGTGGATCGTCACGGAGGTCGAGAGAAACTCAAGAGCGGCATAGCGGAGGTCGTGAGAAACGAAAAATCGTGGATATCGAGGGTGGGTGAAAGTGGAAGAAACCGGCAATGTCTTCTTGTTGGTACAAGATCAGGTCATCATTGGTGTGTTAAACTCTGAAAGAGCCGCCAGAGATGTCGCAGGATTTGGTGGACATCAGACAGCTCAGTGAGGTCCGAGAAAACAACCTGAAGCAAGCAGAACATGGCTCTTCAGCCACGGTCTGGCTTCATGGAGCGCTCACAGTCGAGCCATGTGCTGAAGGAGCATCGTTCAAAGGTGATGCGGAACATGTGGAAAAGGCAGAAGCCGGTGTGCTCGTAGTGCCAAAACAACCATTTTCCCATCGTCCATCGACGATGTTCAGCATGCAAAGAGGCTGCGCTCCAAATGTGCTCAAATGCCCATTTCTCCTATCATCCATTCATGATATTCAGCGCACAAAAAGCTGTGTCCAATGTCCACACGTGCAAAATGCTCACCCTCATTGGGTGCTTGTCATCCATTCAGATTCACACCCCCTTTTGAGCTTTTGCACCATTCAAACGGGCTCAGATCCACTGCCCATAGCCCATTGTCCAGCGAGCTGCTTTCAAAAAAAAACGTAGCGCTCTGCTAGCTCATAGTGGCTCAATCCAGCTATGGATCTTCTTCCTTGAAGGTCCGGGCAATTGAGGTTCCCGGAATCACTGGTAGCTGCTTTGCTGGTCCATGGCGTGCATCATGCGCCCTCAAATACATGGCGAAATCCAGTGGTGCACCCTTGCTTGTCCTCTGGTTGATGTGGGATCGGACCCACTTTCTGTAATCCCATAGGCTCTTGTCCGTCGCCACTTCATAGTAGCTGTATTTTCCCTTGTACTGGCCAAATGAGATCAGCGTCTTCCCCCACATCTCTAATGACTCAATGCCCTGTGGAAGATCCACAGGACCAGGGCGTTCATCACCACCAGCGCCCACTGCTGAGGCATCCAATGCCGGGAGCATCTTCAGTGAGCCTTCGCTTTGCACCATCGTGCATAGCGCCCATGTTGCCAGCACCATAGCCTTCCGCAATACCTTTGCCTGGAGCGCCCACATGCATAGATGGTGGCCCAAAGTCACCTTCCACATCGCAGGCGGCTCTCTTTTGCAAGAGAAGTGACAGCAAGCGCTCATCGCGCTCCGTCCACTTATTAGGATCTTGCATGGCTTCCACGGAAGCGCGCCGGCTACAAAGCTGTCCACAAACCGGGACACCAAAGTCCACCACTCTAGATGGGACTCCGTTCGCCTATCCAGGCTTTCAAAAAGAAGTGAAGGCAAACGCAAAAGCAAACAGTCACAATGTTATTGCGACGTGTGTCATACCTTCAGGTATACATATACTGCAACATCACGTGTGCACAATTGCGTGCATTTTTCTGAGTGCATCGTTCCTGTAACATGTTGTTGACGCACTGCTGAAAGCTATTAAGTGTCTCGCCATAAGATCCGTGCCTTCTTCGAAGCTAAGGCCAAAACCATCACAGATCTACAACGCATCAAAATTGAAACAAAGTGCTGAAACTCAGAAAGCAAGAAAGTCCAATGAAGTTCACTGAAGACTGTCCCCCTTTCAAACAAAAGATCAGCTGTATTTGACATCCCAAGTCAAACAATCATGGTTCCTTTCGTCCAATACGAACTGCATCTACGATTCCTCTAGCTAAACGCTTTGTGTAGTTTCCAGTGTCCGGAAAGTCCACCTTGTCCAATGGAAGGATGCTCACAATTGCAAGTACACGTACCAAAGCGCCTTCTCAAGACAGTGCAAAACCCTTTTGACGTCGAGACAAACCTCAAAGTCTTCCCGAGGTCCCGGCTCTCCCTGTACAGTGCATCCAGTCCTGCACAAGCGAACAAGGCTTTCATGCACAAGTCCATGCTGAGCAAGAACGTCCTTGGTCTCAGGTCGTGACCAAATGGCGTTCACCTGTGGCAACTCAAAAGATGAACTATATCCTAATGAAAGGTAAGACCAATGGTATAGCGATTTCGCAAGTCGAACAGTCGACGTGCGCCTCGGCACTTCGTCACTTCGGCACTTCGTCTGGATGATTGGTTTCACCAGATCGGTGCAAGACATGTCGACGATGTCCAACGGGATGTCCGCCTAGCTTCAAGCGGAACGTGCTGTAGTGCGGAGTCCCATTCCAGGAACACGTGCACTGGATCTGCTTCATCCATCTCCTCAAGGCTGAACAACACTCTATGCACAAGCTTACCAAAGGCAATGGATTCCTGGCAAACAGACTGTAATGCATACAACTCAGCTTCACATGAAGACAACGACAATGCATGCTGTTGGCGAGCCAGCGAGCGAACAAGCGACCGTTCAAAGAACACGCATCCACCGGAGATTCCGCGCCTCTTATTGAACCGATACGGAGCAAAGCTGGCGTCCGAAAAACAATGCAAGTTCATCATCCTCAACTGCATCTCACCAACCTGGCTTTCCAAAGAAAGATCTCGCGAAGGAAACACAAGCGCAACATGCATGTCACTCTTCAGGAACCTGAGCACTGCTCGAAGTGCTGCTTCCGTCCCTGCCATTGGTGCGGCCTGATGACATCCAATGATGCTCAACCACGTCTTCAAGTCATGTCGAACTTGGCTCATCCACAACAACTTGCCTAGTGCTCTTCTGAAGCGTCCATACGCCTCGCTCGACAAAGGTTTCTTTGCGCTCTCATCCGACATCGTCTTTTCTAGGTGGCTTGCAACGTCCGGTACTGACTCACTTCCCTTGTCAATCCCAAAATCTCGGAAGGTCGAATCAAGGTAGGTAGGGTTTATTGACAAAAGAAATTCGTCAGTGTAGGCAACTCTTTGGATGATCCGGCCAATGAAGGTCAACGAGCCCGCTTCGATTGGAACTTCCCCTGTGGTCTTGGTGGGTACGACTTTGGAAATCGTTTCAGCAACAAAGTTCTCAGCCTCCACTGTCGATGATGCCAACAAGATGTCATCAACGTACACGATGGCCAACACATGTCCAAGATATGCCTCCTTGTCGTACACAGCTCCACTGTAGACACAGGGTTCAACTCAATCCGTCCAAAGCCCAACAGTCTTGACTGTTTCTGAGAGTAGTTGCAGCCAGCACAAAGATGCATCACGAAGTCCATTAAGTGCTTTGTCCAACACCAAAAATGCAGGTTGTGTGTCGTCCAAACTAACACTCAAAGGAAGCTTCAAAATTACACGCATGTGTTTCCCTAAAGGACTGTGCATAAACGCGTGACTTATATCCAATCCACGAAGACGATACTTCCTTGTTGCTGCGATAGCTAGGATGAGGTGCAATGCTTCGATCGATGGTGTAGGTGAGCTAAACCCAAGACTACGTGCTGATTGTCCACGATTGAAATCCTTGGCTACTATACGTGCGCGTACACGTTCTGGTGACTTATACGCTGCAACCCAACGACTCGAAATGACGCGTGCATTGGGATATTTTTGGCAAAGCGCTTTCATGTCTGTTTCCGAAATGGTCTGTCCTGTCTTGCAATGTTCGAGGTTGTGAATGTCTTCTTGCATTCCCACAAATCCTTGCTCCAAATTAAGTTCATCGAGCGTTTGATCATCAATTATGGCCGTGGGTTTCCAAATCAACACAGTTCGACCT